GGATAATGCGCCGGCGGTCACGGTCAACCGTTGGGCGATCGGAGTGTGCGGTTTTTGGGGCCGACCTTTTCTAATCCGTCCTTCCTCGGGGGAAGGCAGCATCGCTGCTTCCATAAACATGGACATGCTGGTCGCCTGGGGGAAACACCTTACTGCCTTCACAATCCTGTCGCAGAGGACAGTACGACTTTACTCCCAGACCGCTCCGTACCACGATTGATCGTAGTGCGGGGTCTCGCTGCTCTTGGTCTGGCTGCTCCCCTTTGGCCTTCCTGGCACGGTTGTAACTTGTGGAACGAAGTTCCAGCCAGTGTAGCCTGCGGGATCATTGCAGCACTCAAGCCCGACCACCACGTCAAGGTGGCAGATTTAGGTCGGGAAGGTAGGGAGTAAATGCTCTGGAAATACTTTCGGAGCACATGAATATGCAACTATCGCATGTCAAGACTTTCCATAGGGAGAGAACATTCTGTAAAAAGCAATCGTTGAAAAAATATGATATCTTGAATAAATTAAGTCATTGTTGAGCCAGCTTCGAACGCATAAGCCTCCCGGACTCGATTAACAACTTTTCGCAAAGGAGCTCATACCCACAAAAAGTATGGCGCAACAGAAACAGATATTTTTTTTAATATCCTTAGCACCTTGAACAGCATAACAGTCGAGTACAGAAACTCTTGTTTTGTAATGCGCAGAAAGGCTGCAAACTGTTTCTTGTTTTATACAAGGAAAACATAGGATTCGGGACATATCACACTATCCTTGAAGCACATCTGGATGGCACTGTTTAGGTCGGCGGGCACAACCCCAGATCCCGGAAAACCACCAAGCCGAACTATTTCCAACCTGTACAACCAACTTGTCTGATGAGCTCCCAAACGACTGGCTACATATATAAGCTGCCGTAAGACGTTTGAATGCGACATTACTGCAACGGTTGAATCACCAACTAATAAAGAAAACACACAGGCTATGCATCATCAGCAGCAAAAAAAACACCGGCACTTCCCTACCGAACAGACAACTTATTTTATAACTATATTGTACGATAGGGGGTGTGGACGTTTCCATGCTAGTTTGCTATAGGCGTGTACAACCCCGTACATCAAGTCAGACAGCTCGGAAAAAACCTCACATTAAGGATAGCGTTGACACTGACTACCGGGCCTATCTTGCACCAGTTTAGCTAAGCCAACAGTGTATCACGAGGGACCAACGCTGAAAGACCGGTAGCAGAAACTGTGCAATTAGCAAACGTGATTCTGACTTTTGAGATCGTGATCTGGCTTCATTCGATACAGTCCTGCCAAAGCCAACATAACAACCGAGGTGTGTAAACTCTCCACAATCTCCAATACTTCTCCTTGAATCGCAAGGAGCACGCATGGAGACGGCACTTTCTGAAACACGGTACATGACGAAAGATGGTATGATTGTGGTCAGTTTCAGAGTCTTGCGCTTCACCATCGTCTTCAAGGATGACGGTATCATCTGCGTACTCTAGATCCACAAGACTCTCACCGACAAAGACTTGAACACCGAGGTTCCCAGCGTTCGCCTCGTTAGCTACCGACCAGAGTAATATTTTACTTATTGAATGCCGATATAATTGTACAAGCAAATCCTATCACGCGGGCTCCAAGTGGCGCTACTGATATAACGCACTTAAACGTATCATTGTGCATCATATCCGAGACCAAATTAAAGACGTCTATCGAGGATACTCGCATATTTATCACAGTTCACCATAGTTGAAGTTTTCGTCAACCCGATGGGATCCACAATGACACGATTCAGTGGATGTACAACGGTCGCAACACCCGCGTCCTAAAAACTATCAGTTTAAATGTATCTCTGCGAATTCTTCGTAACAGTGGCATGGCGAGCAGCACTGTACAGTTCGAGTACAAACGGCAGTTTCGTTCGAACTGACGTGCCTAATGAGTGCGACCATCCGCAAAGTTCCGATGCACCTTCAGTAAAACAACAAACTTGTCAACCATAGCTGAAGCGGTATCAGATAATCATTAAGTAGTATACTCGAGTTTTACTCTCCTTATCGCTCACAAGTAGGGTATATTCTCGGTCATGCCGACCGCACTAGAACGCGAAGGGGGTTCTTCAATTGAGTATAGCGTGGACATACATCCAACAAATCACGCAGTTTCGCAAAATACGGGGAGGGGGTGGGTTGGGATGTCATTGCTCAGCAGCCTCCAAGAACATCCATCAGTTTAGCTAAGTTCAACCTACGCCACTGCAAATGCGTGGGAATAAGACAACTCTACTAACAGGCCTATGCAACTAGAAATCGAAGCTATCCACACTTCCTTTGAGTTTTCGTATAACGCTACATTCAGCAACAATTTCCAAAACGAAATCCCCGAAATCTCTCGACCGAACATAAACCTTATCCTGAACTGCGTGTAATCCAAAAGCTGCTACACGGGTATTCAACAAATTCAACGGTGATGCATTTTATATGACAACCGAAGTAAGTAGACAAAATGCCTGTGTAGTGTTCATATGCCCTGAACCCCTCAACCAAATAAAATCACCCAAGACATGAGAGTTGCCATTCTTATGAGATGTGAGGGCGTCAGACTGTTCCCATCGGTACTGAAGCCAACACCAAAATCTATCTATAGACTCTTTATTTTGTAACTCCTGTGTGGAACAGTGCAGGTCAAAAGTCGTAACCCAAATCGTAACCCGGAATGCGTTTGTGAAACCTATGGTTGGGTGTGAGTTTAAACATGTAAAAATAGCACCCAAAGGGCGTGTACTCTAGCGGATCTAGGGTACTCACGGATGACCGCACCTACAGGTACAACACTTTTCCGCTGCCTAGCTGTCGTACCACACGAAAGAAACGTAGAGGGCTGAGATACTGCCAGGTTGTCCATGCCTGGACAGTGGCAGTCGAGATGACAGAGTTGGGTTCCAACCATGGACTTTCCGGTCAGTAAGTTTGGGCCTTAACCACTGAATTATCTTGAGTTAACAGCTTGAAAGAAAGTAAGACCCTAAAAGGGCGAATCCGATCGTGGAGACGTAATTTAGCCCAGTACCATGGCCCAAACTAAAGGACGAACAATCGAACAATATGATGTTTCAGATGTATATACAACGGGAGGAGTTTGGCTATTCAACATCTGGGAGAAATAATCACTCGACGATGTTCAGAAAACCCATAGTTTCTCTCCACAACAATTGGGCCTTTTGCATATCGTTCATATTCTCCGGCCAAGTAATTGGAACACAATTACTTAACAACAACCCACTGCCAGAAATACCGAAATTCTTATTTCCGTCGCTGTCCTTGCAATGAGCACCAGGGACATTTTGGCTCACAACACAGTGAATAAGACTCTGACATCCCTCAAAAGGGGTTTTCAAAAGGAGTTTGGCAAGTATGCCCCAGAGCCACTGAATTGGAGCAGGATATTTGGCCAGCATGTGTCGACCGAGTCTTGTATTGACCATTCCACCGGTGAATAAACAATACACATCAACCTTTTTACTCGGCCCTGATCCGAAGCGACGATGGAGTTCCCTCGCAAATAAGCAAGACGCCAGTTTAGAATTGCTATATGCTTGCGTCGCATTCCATTGTTTCGCTGGGCTCCAGGGTTCTAGCAGAGCATCAAGATGACCACGAGATGCAAGTGATGAGCTTACAAGAATGATACGAGGATAATACACTGAATCCTCATGAACTCGTCTCAAGTGAGGTATCATCAAATGAGTCAAATAGGCGGTGCCCAAGTAATTGGTAGCCACGTCAACAGTGACTCCACCGAAAGAGCTCACTCGGCCGGGGGAATATGTCATCACACCAGCATTGTTGACGAGAGCATGGACAGGAACGTCCTCAAATATTTGTGCAAAGCGATCAATCGATGGACGTTCCGTGAGATCCAGATATTCCACGCGGATATCGCTGTTACCGGTTGCGGCGGTGATTTCCCGCTTTACCTGGTTTGCCGCAGTCATGTCCCTGGAAAAGTGGCTAGCTAAAACTGAAAAACCTACCTACATCCAAGCGTAATTTTCCAATTCCTTTGTGCTAGCGCCATTGCCGTAGCACGTCCGATGCCCGATGTTGCTCCCGTGATAATAGCATGTTTCCCGGAGCTGGAAATGCAGTTACAGATTATCGTCCTCCGACGAAACAACTGAAACATCAGAATGAAAACTCCACCTGCTGCTACAAATCCCACAAAGATGGCTGAGAGCTGAGTCATTTACTAATGACTCATTGCACGGTAACTGAAACAGAAACAATCTGGACATTAAAAGCTGTCACGGATAACGAACGACTTATTCCGTAGCTAGAATAAAAAAATAAGGTCTGATAAAATAAACGTCAGCGATTTTTAGTGACTTTGAATCTCTGGCCTTCGACAGAAGCTTAGTGGCAGAGTCGCTGTTAGGTGGATGTCCTGAGTTGGATACGGAGCAAGAACCACAAAAAGCGTTTGCCGCAGATATTCATGTGTGGTACCAACTTCCTGGACAGTGTAAATCATCTGGCAACATGGTTCCCACCAATAAAACAACTTTGGGCTCCAAACGACCGCAGTGCCATTCATCGCGACGGCGAGAATCGATCACTGCCTACCGTTCCTCCTGCGCAGACGACAATCATGCACTTTCTCATCGCGGCTTCTGGACTCTAAGTAGAATACGGGGACCTCGCCTGGTCATCCATTGCTGACGACATAACATTGTTCAACACCGGTGCATCGCTGCCGTACAACCATTATTTATTTCAAAGCCTTATTATGAGGAAAAGAATGAAATTGGACGGAAAAGGAACTTGGTGCTAGCCTAGTGTTAGAATGGTCAGGTCCTACACAACAATTCAACCTTTCATAATAATTCACTACGATTTCAGTTTCAGGCGTCATCTCTGACGAAACCAGATGTGACCCATGCTCCAAGTATTACACTATCACCGAATACGCTGGCTGCAAAGCGTTCGACCGTTAGCTTGGAGATAAAGCAACAGTGATCTCGATTGGTGAACGCATTTTGGCTTGCAAAATAACGCAGATTCCAATGAGGTAAATGCAGTGCGTTTGTTTGGAATCATTGTCACTGGCACACCAAAGCGACTAAAGATGCAAGTGAGCTGAGACTGTGCAGCGAAAGGTGATGTGATCCATCATCATGATCTCCGGCCATTTACTGTAGGCATGAACCATGATAAGGGGTGAGTTCGACCAAGTGATTAGAGTGCGAATTTGCTGACCGGAAGGTCCGTGGTTCGAACCCGACCTCTGCCTCCCAACACTCCTTGTCTAGGCTTGGGTGACCTGGCATTATCCCAGCTCTAGTGCCTCCTTCATGTGGCACGGCAGCTAGGCACCGAAAGGGTGCTACAGTTGAACGATATTTTTCAACCACGATAAGATAATGGTTAATTGGCCCTGCAAAATCCATAAGTAAACGCGACCAAGGGGTAGTTGGTGCAGGCCACAAAGATAACTACGTATTTTGCGGCGATTTTGCAGAACACTGACATTTTGAATACGTCCTACCTAACTTCCGCCGAGTCTTTCATGCAGTTGATGCCCTGGTGTCCAAATTGCTTTAGTGCTCACGCTCCCAGTGTGGCTGGCATTATAACACGCCAAAGAAAAAGCAACTATTGACTTCAGGCGGGGAAGATCGTCGATGGACTAAGGACTGAATGTCGCGTCACTGAAGATTATCAGCGTATTCGACAAGTGTAATACTTATTGGAGCACAAGGTCGCATTTGGTTTGGTCACGGACCACAGTTGAAGTGACCGGAATGGCTCGAATGGATGAAGCGAGTACGGTGAAGACTTTCGACTCGACAAAAGCGGAATCGACAACTGTATCCTATGACGGCTTCATTGCAAACCCATCAGTCTTAATAAGGACTCTGCCGGTACAATGGTATCCGCAGGCTGGTGTTTGATTGAAAAACCCTGAACAAGGAGACTGGTAGAGATGTTTTGCCGTTTATAGAGGAACGCCTTTCTTTCGAACCAATGGAGTGTTGACAAGCGGTTTGTGATCAGTGAGTGTGAAATGGCGACTGTAGATCATTCTGTGGAAGTTCTTGACGGCAAACACAATTGCAAGCGCTTCTTCTTCTAGGTGCCTGCAATTGCGTTCAGCCAGTGTCGAAAATCGGGCTGCATGGGCGACGACTTTTTCAGATCCATCATGAAGTAGGTGGGAAGTGACTGCTCCAACTCCATGGTCGGAAGCATCTCACGTTGGAGTGGTATCCATAGATAGGTTGTAATGTGCGAGAAACAGGTCTGACGATAGGAGCGATTTAACTATGTTGAAAGCTGATTGACAATGAGGTGACAAGTACCAGGGAACATTCTTTTTTTGAGACATAACTGAGGGGGGCCACGAACACGGTGCATGTTTGGTAGAAAAGCACTGTAATGGCTCAAAAACCCGAGAATAGGTCAAAGTGAGGGCATGTCCGTCGGTGGTAACATTCTCCGATTGGCATCCATGTTGTCCGGGTCAGGGCGACGGCCGTATCTGAAATGAAACCGAAATATTTTATACATATAAGAATGCACATTTTTCTGCTCGGATATGATATCCGTATTCCTAGATTCTATCAAGTACTGAGGTTAGGCGATGAAGGAATTCTTCCTGATCAGAGGCTGCCACCTAATAAGCATAGCGCACATGATCTGTTGGAATATGGCTGGCGCCGTTTTTACTCCAAAGGGAAGACGATCGAACTGGAAGAGACCATGGTGCGTGTTAATGAGTAGATCCTTGGGGTCATTTGCAACTTTGATTTGTAAACAGACATCAGCTATATCGGGTTTAGCAAAGCAAGTGTCACCAATGAGTTTGGTGGACAGGTATTCTGCAACTAGGAAAGGGTACCGATTTAAATCGAGTGCAACATTTATTCAATCAATTAATTAATTCATTAGTTGGTCAATTCATCATCCATAAACCATTTACCATCGGTACGTTGGTTCCAATTCAATTCAATTCATCAGCTATAGACCGCGTACCGTAGGCACATTGGCTCCAGCTGCCACAGTTTCGATCACCGGAAAACGGACGACTGTGGAACATGCAACCAAGCCTTGGAGAAAGTGGCATGTTCAGTATGTTCGGAAATTGGGCAGCTAGTCAATAACGGGGATAGTTTTGATGCACGAGCGCCACTGACTGCGCGACCGGGCCATTTCTACAAGTATCATTAGCCATTGACGGGTTGAGTCCCGAAGTATCCGTCCAGGGAGGCGGCTGTTGTCGACCCGACTAAGTTTATTGGTCGATGTTTTCATACTTCGTTGCCAGATCATACATTATCCACCTCTCGGTCGCTTCTACTCAGCATAGGGCTGGGCGGAAAGAGTTCCTTGAGGCAGACGGCCTTCTGGCATGCGGAGTACATGTCCCAACCAGCGTAACCTACGAAGCGTGAGTAATTCATCAGTCGCGGGAGAGTTCCTTTCTCCTGAGACGACCTGGCGTAACTCCGCATTGCTAACCGGATATTCCTACGAGGCCTGGCTAATGCTTCGGAGACACAGATGGCCAAACACTAACATCCCTCATATGTTACCTGCGCTCTGACACACCTCTGATCTATGAGGCAGTATGGATCACACCAACGCCATGTGAACTAAGCCCTTGGCAGACAAACAGACGTAAAGTCAGCGCCATGGGTGTCAGAGGGTGGCAAAAGCTGTCCTAGCCTTCTTGATTCGAGAAGTTATCTCAACCTCAGCCAGTCAATCAGAGCTTATACAGCTTCCCAAGCATATATCTATCTACCACGTTGATTGGTTCATTTACGAGCATGAGGTTTGGGTTTGACCCAACGCAGTGTTGTAGCAAAACTTTACTTGATGCCATTCAAAACCAGTAAGTCTTCTGAGGCACTGTTGTTCAAAAACCTGAAGAACCCTTATATCATCTACCTGCAGGGGCTGTTTCTCATCCACGCAATAATACAGTCCTCACTGTTGCCCGGTATGGAGCATGAATGAATTCTGAAGGGGCAAGACGCATACCGGAAATAGTATTTTTGTAGTCAGTTTATTCAACAGAGCTTGTGCTGCACTCTGGTCTTCAAAGATGAGGTGGAAATTGTTGTGACTTGCTGAAAGGCCGTGCAACTGTGTCGACCCTTGTCTCCTGCTCTGCCCACCACGGTGTATCAAAAGGCACGGCAGCTTTAGACGACCCCTTATGGAAACAAAGGAACCTTTTTACGACCGTATTTATAGGGTAATCACAGAATGTTCCACAGGTGTAATATGCACGCTATAGCCGCATCAGGGGACAGTGATTCTCCGAAGGCAGGTGTTCACGACAATTTCTGTGGACGGAAAACAGAAATAAAGCTCATAAACCAAAGCCCCGTAAGCAAGGTTGCACATCACCAATACTTACATATGAATGAATCAAAATGACAGACACCGTACACTACACCGGCTTCCTTTTTGAAGAACACCGTCCCCGGTGTACCATGGCTTACGTGAACCGGCCGGTGCTAGTGGTGTGGTGCGTTAAGCTGGTGAGCGTGTGCAGGGGTTGCTGTATCTGGGGCTGCGTCTACCGTGTGTGAGTGAGCAACGTGCTAGCTCTGAGGCATGCATGCACATATGTAAAGCCAGGATCTTTGTGGTAGGTCTACTCTGTGTGTGGTAACCATCCTGGCAGGGTCGCCAATTATGTAATATGCACGCTATGGCAGCACCAGGGGACAGTGATTCTCCGAAGGCAGGTGTTCACGACAATTTCTGTGGATGGAAAACGGAAATAAAGCTCATGCGCCAAAGCCCAGTAAGCAAGGTTGCGCATCACCAATACTTACATATGAATCAATCAAAATGACAAACACTGTACACTACACAAGGTCGTGCTAGAATCTCCCTGGTGGGGTGAGAAGCGCCGAGCTGAAGATGCTCTACACAGATTGGTTGGCATTCTGACCAATCAGAGCCGAGCTCGTTTGGTCTGTAGCCCGCACACGACAGATCCGTCCAACTGAAGTGCTGTTCGGTTATTAGGAGTTGCCGTCCTCCGGAAAGGCATCGAATGCATAGTCCAGATCGACAAGGTTGTTATTAGTAACAATCTGAATGATGAAGAGTGCGTCCATGTGTCGTTTGGAGGGGATTCAGCGAATGCCTTTGTTATGCATGGTGAAAAGGGACCAGAAAACATCATGAGGCTAGATGCCAAAAAAGATTTAGGCATCTGGGTCTCCTCAAACTTGTCCTTCGCACTACACCATGAGAAATCGGCCCAAAAGGCATTCGCTTTTTTACGGATGATCCGACACGCCTTCTCCCGTATTACTCGCATGGACTTTCAAATACTCTGTGCGGCCTACGTCAGACCGCTCCTGGAGTACGCCAACCAGGTTATCTACTCAGGAAGCAAGAAAGACGTTACCCTCATTGAGCGTGTCCAGCAGGCTGCTACGAGAATGGTTGCCGACCTCAAAGCCGTGGACTGCGAAACGCGTCCAGGGATGCTTGATCTCTTTCCCCTGGAGTACCGTCGCCTCCGAGGGGACCTAATTCTTACTTACGCCCTGTTTGAACAAAGCTTGGCAAACAGGTTTTTTACCGTTGACCCAGCAAACACCCGGCGAGGACATAGTAAGAAAATTTTCAAGCTCAGGGCACACACCTTCACTAGACAAAACTTTATCATTTCGGGTATTAGGTGCGTGGAATGACCTTCATTCGGCGGTTGTTCACGCTCCTTCTAGAACCCAGTTTAAAGCACCATTAGACATTTATTTATGCGAATCCTTGCGCTGGCGAGCATACTGCCCCGCGCGGCGAACATAAAGAGCAGTGCTACACCCTTTTTTCACTTGTGCCTTTCAGGTGAACGACAGCCACTGACCGACAAGAACGAAACCGACCCAGGAAACTTGGGCAAAAGCCTCGATCCTGTGTATCAATCCGTGAATCCGTGAATCCGTGAATCAGTGACGCCGGAAGCCTTGCTACAACAAGCCGAACAAACACTACTGTGGTTTCTACAACCAGAGCCTGTACCCTCTTTGAAAGCGGTCCCTATTATCTCTTCAACCCAGTTATTTGGAGCGGTTTCACCAAGCAGGCTACGTGGGCACTGCTGAACTAAGCCACCGTAATCCTGGAACATAATATTTTGTATGTCACCATGCCTAATAACACGATGACGCTTGAGTAGAAATGTACACCTTGTTAAAGGTTCCTCCATGTTCACGTTTCGCCATCCTGCTGAGGGCCAGGACTTGATGCTGGATGAGGCAGGTGTTAAATTAATTGCTAGTTAGCGTGTCGTGCTCACCGGTCAAGGCACCCTTCTCCGTCGGTATTGTGGCTGACTGGAGGCCTCCAGGGACCGGTCGAATGAACCAAGCGGAACAGCTTGCGGATATTCCCGTCATTTTGGCATCTTTCATTTTTGTGGCTTCTTGGCTCCAGCAAACTTGTCGGTCGGTAGAGACACTCAATTTTGCCTGCGTTGGACGCAACATCAAGTGGCGTTGTGCCTGCAGCTAGGAGGAATCCGTCACCGGGCCTCCAGCAAAGGTATGATCCCATCGCATTTCCAATGTCTGAATACGGTTGGCTAGGTTGCACCGCAAAGTAACGTCTCGGTCATGAGTGGGTCTTTTGATATGTTTTCCTTATGGTAGTTGACATCCGGCAGGTGTTTGAGAGGACAATTCTGAGAATTTTCTTTGATTTCTGGGTCCATTAACCTCTCAAAGGCTAAGCAAGAGGTGCACGTTTTGTGTAGACCTGAAAAGCGTGATGAAACATAGCAGCGCACAATTTCGTGGTCGTACTACACACTGGCATTCCAGGGAAAGCGGCTTGCGGTGCTCGACCCTGGCCACCAGCAACTGACAATGTGATCTATTTGGATTCGGTAAGCAATCTCCGCCACCTCGGAGAACGTTTCTGCGTAGTAACGGTCTATGACTGGCACACATCGGAAGCAGGCGACCTCTGCTTTACTTGCGTCTTGTATCCATTCCAAGACAGCAATCAAAGTGGGCCTCTGGAAGGCTTTCTTAATCTACATTGGCTTTCAAGCGACAAGCGACCGCAACGCTATTTGTACTTCCGTCCCGTGGTAAATAAGCACCCAAATCGTCATAGAAGCTGTCTGGCAGATTTAAAACTACCGTTAGTTGAGGCGTAAGCGGACACAGTAAAGGGGGCACGATGGACCTCTTTCTCAAGATTCTCCCACAGGCGCTCTCAAAATACCGCGCAGATGTGACTGTCAATGGGCATACAATCGGCTAGGGGCGCTTCCGTTGGGTCATTCACTATAATACCCGCGCTGGAACTTTCGGTTTCAGCAGCTTTGTATCACTAAAGGTGCGCGGCCGGAATCTGGAAGGGACTAAGCGGATATGCTGTTCAATCGCAGTAATCGCGTCTTGCATCCTTGTTCCTGACAGACACCGCGCTGTGCTGTATGCGGCAAGACTAGCCGGCTGGTGATACTATGCGAGGGGTTTTGCGGAATAATTACGTTTGTGTGTGAAATCTATGGCTGTACATGAGCTGGGATATTGTCAGGGTGCCCAGAACTGGACGAGAGAAAAATGAGGGTCGTTGATTGAGGCTTTTGCCTCGGAAGGCTGACAACAAAACGGTGGTGTTTCGCAGAAAGTGCAGATGCATTCCCAACTTCACAGAACAAGTCGCTACTCGTGTCCTTACCCCTAAACGTGAGAGCAAGGTAGCGGTGTTGTTCATTCTTGTAGCCAGTGACCAACCTGGTATGAGAGGCTGAGACGGACGGAACCACACAAATAGCCCCATTACGGTAAGGTCCAGCTTATTCTTGACGGGCCTGCAAGTGTGCCCGGGATACAATCCTCCTGATTGCCGTCGGCGCAGCCACGTATAATGGCCGTCTTACGAAAGCGTATCCATAAACCCTTGAATGCGGACACCACGAGAACAATGGAAATTATTCCACGGACCTGATGCCCTACGAAACAAGCGTAACAATGCTGTCGCATTTTGCACTGTAACTGCGCCCCCGCTGTCTTTATCGAAGGGGCATCTTCATTGTCGGAAGCTTCCTCCCTCGAGTCCAATGGAAAACAATATATCCATTTGCGTGCAGTTCAGTTCAGTTTGTTAGCTGCCAAGTGTGCTCGAAGTTGCAAAGCCTCCATGCAGTTCTCGCATCAAGTACGGCGGCAAACAGATAAAACTCGGGAGAACGATCGATGTAACTGAGATCTACAGAGACCTTCAGCATCCCCGTCGCTGGAGTGCGCGTTCTAGTTTTCAACTCACCCTTCGAACATCGGTGCTTCAGGACTGGTTGGGTGAACGTCTTTAGCGGCCTCGTCGTTTGCCCTATCTATAGGGAAACGAAGTGTCAGGATCCGTAACACTTAACGGTATGTTACTGTCTTGAGGTTGCCACATGTAGCTACGTCTGGGTCACAGGCAATGAGCGATCGGTGTTTAGGCGCAACGATTACGCACACGAACTAGCTGTATTCCAGGAATGAATACGCATTGACAACGAATTGACTTTAACTCTTCCAAAAGATCGGACCGCTTGTCGGCCAAGCACTCAGGCGAGTGCTGATTGGTTGTAATATAAAGCAACTCCACCGGCCCTCCGGTATTTCTGGCCAGCTCGGAAGGAAGAGTGGGCGTCTACCGGGAATTCTGTGTCAGAGGCATCTGATGTGAGCCAGGTTTCCGTAATCGGTATTACGGATGGCTTTCTAAAGAAAGGTGACTGTTTACTATCGCAAAGTTTGTTTAAAAGGCTTAGGTGGTTTTTGGACAAGCGGCACAGCGGTGCCACTGCTACCTTCATAGTGGAGAGCAGAGAGGTGTGCTGCCGGAGAGGCTAGCAGATTCAATAGCTGTACACCGGGTGTGCGTCTGAAGCTCCAAAAGGAGAACTGTTTCCCGCCTTGGTGGTTTCGAGAGCTGATTTTGATTTGCAGAGTTTTTTCTCGCCCCGTGAAATTCTGGTTTTCGAGGGCTCAATTCCATTAACCCGGCCATATTGGATTGGTTGTATATAAACGAGACTTCCAGCCAATCGGTGAATGCAATCAGTAGAATGGATTTGTAGCGCCTTGCTCCGGCTACCTAATAAGTTACTTTACCAGGAATGCGTGGCAAAGAAATAAAAGTTATAACGCTAGTTTCGGTATGCAGTAATCAAGAGGTCAGATGGGACAGACTCGCCAATAATTGTTCTCTTTAAAATAGTTCGTCGTTGGCCCAAGTCGGCGAATAAATAATAATCTAATTATGGTGGTCCAGGGGTCATCTTCTGAAAAGTTCCCCACATAAAGTAGATTCCGAAGGTGGTCTGAAATGTTTTGATACCAGAGTTAGCACATGAAACTCGCGAATCACCGCTGCAAGCGCGAACGAAATTGCAAGGGTCGAAGTACTTGACCACGTTCGTATTGCGTGAAATTGTACGAGTGCGCGTTTTTGTAGTTTTTTGTATTCATGCAATTGACGAAGTAAGTCGTGTTGTCATGTAAGCAAATTAAAGTTAAAAAACCACAATAGTTATATCTTTCACCACTGCATTTTATGTCAAACACGTTTATCCGAAAGCGTTCCAACTGAATATTTCATTTTCCTAAATGGAATTGCTACCAACGGATTTTGTACCCAGGTGAACTGTGAGCCTATATTAAACGAAGTGGGTCATTCTCTGTCTTCTTAATCAGAGCTCCAGTGGAACACGTTTGTGGTCACGTCAGCTTTTGGGATGGTTAATCTTGTAGTTATAGAGCAGCAATGGACATGCGGAGCTGTGTTTGAGACTCTGAATACATTCGTATCTAACAACCAGAGACACTTAAGCTCGTTAACGTAGTGCCCTCCAGCCGGACTTTCGTTCTTCCTCAGTTTTGTCCAACCACGCTTCAAACACGAGCATTCCTGTCGTTTCCTTGTGGCTGTGGGTAACATTTACTCCTTTAATCTCATGGTCGCCTGCGCACTTGTTCATCCGAGGAGGGCTCAGTTTCACTAAAATATACTGTCAGGTGTAGCCACTGTGCTTATGGTGACCTTAAACCAAGGAGTGGCTGGCGATACGGAAGCTTAACAACCTGATCTGGCGTCGTCGAAATTTTTCCAAGGATATGGTGCGAGGCATATTCGCTTACCTCGATTGCACCTGGCACTGGGTAACTTGGCAAAACGGGTCCTCAACACTGACAGTTTTGCGCTTCGTGAGTACAGAGAAGAACCTTGCAGAATTCATTTCAAAGCCACGTGTCAAAGTAATTAGCTTTGTCAAACTTGGATTTGCGAACTAACATGACATAACCGGCAGGTGCTTTCATTCAGTACGAGCTTGAAGAACTAGATTGATTCCGCACACAACATAATTCCGTTCAAAAACATGTGCGCTTCTGCTTCTTGATGCACTGTGTAGATCCTCCAATGGAGGCGGCATTTAAAGAACATTGGCTACATTTGCTGTGCGCACTTTTTGACCCAAGTTGTGAGAGGCAAGTGAATATATGAAATGTATGCATCTACAATTGAGCCCGGCCAAGTGGTTATCTGTAGGATATTTTAAACTGTGAAGTCAGCCTTGATTTCAGGTTGAGAGCCTCGGTGAAGATATCCAGGAAAATTTATAAGCAATCAAAAGAGAAACGTTAACATAAACTCCCGTAGGTCTTGTGCATGGTATGATAGAAAAACTCATATTCTCCATCCTTTAGGAAGGATCTGTAGCGGACTAGGACCTAATCAGCGTGTTCGGATAAATTAACAGGCAAACATAACCAGTACGAAATCACAAAATCACAATAGGAAAGGAATGAGTAGTCAAATGGGGACTCACGAATGTGTAGGTCCAATAGTCCACTACATCGATCCAAATGCAGTAACTGGTTGTGAACGGAAATATTCACTTGCCGGAATTTCCCACAGATGGTTCCGCGTGCCTGATATATCCCACGGTGGGAAAATTATTCACGGCTAAAAATGTCACAGGGATTTATTGTGACGTTCAACAGTTGACACAAAAACAGAGATCTGGTCCCACTGGTTCAGCAATCAACAAACAGTTCAACGAAGCGTAAATACACTCGTTCAGCAAGAGGTCGGCAGGTCGCAGCGGAAAATTGTGTATTCGTAACATTAAAACAAACGTCATGATACAATGTGAACGACAGTTGCAAAGCGTGGCTTAATTTCAGGAAGAACGGTAAATGTGACAACGGACTGCAGACACTACAGTACTCCCTCCTAGAGCGTCAGGAATAATGAAAGGGAATGACGCTCGGTTATCTGACAAAGCTCAAGGGGTGTAGTCTGCGAAGCGAACAGGAGTATTGCAGGTTCGACCAACACGTGTTTGCTTTAGGATACGTGACGGGTGATTGTCAATTCTTCGTGCAATTTGTTCGGGGTTCTCTGAAATGACTGTATTGGAGGTTCGAGAACTTGTGGGTAAAGTAACTACAGTAGGGGGATCTATGTGTTATTCGTCATCAGTGAATGAAACTTTGAGTCTGTCGATACTACGCAAGTCCGGTTTTCCGTTCCTCTCAATCACAAAATACTTGTCCTTGCGAGAAATGTCTTTAAACGGACCATCATACGGATGTTGTAACGGTCGTTTGAGGCTGTCAACACGGAAAAATACATGTGTACAAAAAGATAAACCGGGATCCAAATGTGTGCGTCGACCGGATTTCCGAGTGTCAGACGAGCGAAGAGTACGCATATGATCTTGCAGTCGACTGACGTATGTCGA